AAAATGCGGGATTTAAAAAGGCGAATGGGTTTTTTGCCTTTTTTTCCCCGAGTTGCACACTCCATCCCAAGGATCTATTTTTTTATTCTCGGTCGTATGGAGAAAGGCAGGGTGAGTCAGGGCGCCCCTATCCCGTGAGGTTGGCCCCCCCCGGGCATTGCAGTTTGCAATTTGCGTCTGCCGGCTCGTAAACAGAGGGGTGGGGTGCCGGGCGTCCACGATCTTGCTGGAGTTTTGCCTCCCCCTAATCATTCCCCCCCCCCCCCCCCCCCCCCGCACCTCCCATGCACGCCCACAAGACCCGAACCCTTCAGCCTGATACGTGTTGAACGAGGGCATGTGTCGTTGGAGGAGAGGTGCGCGCCGGGCTTTGATGAGGAGGACTTGAGCAACTGCTGGCAGCTGCCGGACGACATGATTCCGGGGGATGGAGAGGAATGCGAGCTCAATCCTGACTACCAAAACTTGTACGTGGAGTTCCGTTGTTTCTGCTTGGTGGTGGTGTTGTTGAAGTCGCTATTATAGCGTTTTATTTTCAGTATTTTTTACCGGGGGTATCACCGGCCTCAACTGAAACCCACTTCCTCTCCTCATCACAATCCCGCCGCAAGATAGTCAGAGAGGGACGCGGAGAGAGAGATAGAAAGAAAAACTAGATGTTATTGATGTCGTTATTAACCTACCTTCCTCATTGCGGAATACCTGTGATCCCTACTGATACAATACTGTCCGAAGATAGGGTTTCACGAGGAAGGCGCGAAATATCGGAAATGTCGAGTGTAGTTCGAGTGGCACTCCAGGGACCAAAACAACCCTTGTCTGTCTGCGAATTGGTCCAGATATCGAGGATTCCCCGCGAGCACTCAACCCGCATATTTACGGTTCTATTGGAATCGGGGGCCCCGGAATGAAACATTTCGTCCACGAACGGAATTTAATGGCCCACACCACCTTCCACGTACACAGCTAACTTTTCCGGCTGCACTAGAGTTGCTTCCGTTGATGGCGACAATAATTGGAACGATGTCTCTGTTTTAGAGAAATAATCCAGGTAGAGAGACAATAGAGAGAAATTCAGTGAGATAGAGAGAGGCAAGGCAAAGAGAGCGAGACCGCGAGAGAGAGAGAGACAAGAAGCAGAGGGAACGAGAAGAAATGGCCTATTTGTAGATGTTGACCATTTTGCTCGTATTTTGTCTTGTTGTCTGTTAACTGAACGCCATCTATGCATACAACGAATCCAATCCGCAGGTGGGCAGCAGTGTACGAGGAGGAGATGGACGTACTCACCGGGGAATCGGCCGCAAGGGCGGCAGGGGTAGGCCGCGGAGGCGTGTTCGGTGGGGGGGGAGGGGGGGGGGGGTATGCCAAAAAAGGTAATATTATTG